TCAATCAATCAATTCCAACGTTTATTCAAAATTGCTCATAAAAATTGGAAACAGTCTAAAGGACCATCAATAAGAATTTTAGAATATACATAATTGTACAACCATAAAGTAATGCACAATTCAAATTTTAATTAACATGAAAGAATTTTCAAGTGAAAAGATCAGGTTATAGAGGAATATATGTAACCTGGACATTTTCATGTGAATAGAAAACATAGTATGGAAAAGAAGGCAAACTATTAACAGTGACCATGGCTGAGTTTGGGAGAGTAGGGAATAGTTTGGGGTATAAGCAGTTATGCAAAGTCTTTTAAAAATATTTATTAAAAATATATTTTCTTGTCACAGTAAACTACTAAATTTCTAACATTCTAATATAAGTGAAAAGCTGATCATTCAATAAGCCTTATGAAATCATTTAAAAAGTATTTTATTTTCCAGTGTAATTTTTAATCACTCTAAATAAAATGAAATAGCTCCAAAATATTAATGGTTATGTTCCTGTTATATTCTCTGGTGCTAAATCCTTTGCTGCCATCTCTTGGAAGTAGGTTACTAATGCATTCCATGGGATTTCAATTCCCTTCTGGAAAAGACTTACCAAAGGAGAGAAACAAAGAAAAATTACATTCTTGCAGGAGCACAATGATAAAGCAGAATTAGCTTTTCTGCATAGTGTGAGGAATTTGTCTTACAGCATCTACAGCTGGATTCTGGCCTCTCTTTCTTTGAAAATCCTGAAAGTGGTGATCTTTTACAAGGAAACTCCAACTGAGCAATACCTGGCTTTCCTCAATGCTGCATTTTTTAAAAAAATTTTATGTTTTATTTATTTCTGAGAGAGAGAGAGAGACAACATGAGCAGGGGAGGGTCAGGGAGAGAGGAAGATACAGAATCTGAAACAGGCTCCAGGCTCTGAGCTAGCTGTCGGCACAGAGACCGACATGGGGCTCCAACCCACGAACCGTGAGATAATGCTGTGTCTTAATTCTACAACAACTCAAAAAATTTTGTGCAATTTTTTTTTGTCTTTTCTATCCCTAAACCAGATTTGTCTTAAAGGGAAGGTGCACAAAGCAGGAGGTTCTGAGCAATTCCAAAAACGAAGATGAAAATGGGAGCTACACTTGGATGAAGTGACATGTAAAACTACCTTACACAGTGTGGGCTAATAGATCAGGAAAGAAAGAACACACTAGCTCAACTTCTGAAGTGAGAATAATTTAGTTCTATGAAAACATTACTAAAATTGGAGATTTCTTAAAACTTGAGTAACATCGTAAAGTCTATACAACAAACCAGTCTCGTCTGACATTTCACAGGTGAAAATAATCACCTGGTTATGGAATTGAATCATTTGCTTTTGAACCCTACTTGAGTCTCAAGATGTTACATTATACACACTGACTTGACTAACATGGCCAGTTTCCATCACTCATCAGAAGCTGATAAACACTTTTAATCAGTGTGGCTGGTCATGGCAGCTTTCCTCGAGATTTGAATACTTCTCTTCTGTAAATATCTCACCCCACAAATAGGCAGGCATTTACAAGAAATGCCTTGTATCTGGGCACTTACTCTCATTCTCTTCTGATGTGGGCACTCAATGTTTAATGTAAATATAGTCTTTTATTAATTGACACGTATGGGAATTTGCTTTTTGTAGTGCACTTCTCGGAATGCCAGACAGCTGCTTTATTTATTCACCCAGGGTTGGCTGTGAGTACAAGATCTTTGGTCTCTGACTTGTGTTGCCAGTCACAAGACAATAAACAATTTGCTGAGGGGAGGGCAGGGAACTCATGAAAAAGAGCCACTCTTCATATGTTTCTTGATTGGAAAAAGATCTCGCTCTCTTTGTCACCCCAAAGGGGGCCACACCATCACTTTGTTCAAAAGCTTAAATCTACAATGAGATAGACTCCATATTCAATGACCATTTCTTCTGCTTAATATACTTCTGATCCTTCTTTATCTCGTAAACTCATTAATCAACTCACGCTTATTTTCTCTTTGAAAATTTTGTGCCTCCAGAATTCTTTGCTCTCTCCGGAGAGCTTCTCTCTTTGTACTTCTACAGAGAAGTTAGCACAATGTAAAATCACAATGTGTTTACTCAGTCTTCCAGCTATCTCTGGTCTGTATGATCCCTAGGCAGAGCCCTAGTCTGGTTTACATTTGAACTCCCCAAATCTGACCCAGAATGTTATTGACATAGATGTGTTTACTGAATGCATGAATGGATGAGCGAAGGCAAAGCTGAGCAAAGAAAAGAGCATAAACTCAAACAATACTTGCAAAGCAAATATGTCTGCGATCAAATATATATTTGAAAAATGAAAACAAGAGAAAATTTTACATAAGCTACTGAAGTTTTGTGTGTTGTAGTCTTTTTATTTTTTTTTTTAATTGAGTGTATGTGATCTTGTTTTGGAAAGCTTCAAATATAATTGAAAAACTGTAAAATTATTCAAAATGTGAAATTATTTTTCAGTTTAAAATGCTATGTGTTTATTCTTGAGTTCATTGAACAATTGTGTATTTATTGCAAACTGTGTTAGACAAAAATCATAGTATTAATTCAGGTATCATGTTATTATTAACATACTGAAGCTACCTTAAAATATTGATAAAGTACATAATATTCTGCAGCTTAAGGTTCATAGAAAAATACTGTACTTCAGGTCTTGCATACAAATAAAGCTAAGTTCATGTTAACTGTCTTTGTTTGCTGTAGCTTTGTAAAGCATAGCTTAATATTATTTATTAATTATTTTAGTATATGTGCTGCCGAAGCGAGCACTATTTACTAATCATTTTGTACTAAGTTGAAAATGAAAATCTAGTGGGTACTGTAGAAAAGATAGGATCTTTTCTGTTTTTAAATTTTTTTAGCAGTTATTTATTTTTTGAGAGAGAGAGGGGACAGAATGTGAGTGGGGGGGGGGGGAAGAGAGGGAGGAAGACACAGAATTCCAAGCAGGCTCCAGGCTCCAAGCTGTCAGTACAGAGCCAAATGCAGGGCTCAGACTCAGAAACTTCAAGGTCATGACCTGAGCCAAAGTCGGATGCTTAACCAACTGAGCCACCCAGGCGCCCCTATGATCTTTTCTTAAAGGCTATTTTCACTAATATTTTTCATGAATTTTCCTTTCTTCTTTTTTAAAAAAAAGTTTACTTATTTACTTTGAGGGGCAGGGAAGGGACAGAGTGAGGGAGAGAGAGATGGAGAGAGAGAGAGAGAGAGAGAGAGAATACCAGGCAGCTCTGTGCTGTGAGCACAGAGCCCAGTGCAGAGCTCTGATCCCACAAACCATGAGATCATAAACTGAGCAGAAATTGAGTTGGATACTAAACTGACTGAGCCACCAGGAGCCACATGAATTTTGTTTTCTTAAATCACATCTAAGTGAAAACTATATATTAGCCCAGTGGATAAAAAATGAAGAGTATTTCTGAATGAATATAAATATTTAACATGATCAAATTAGGACTTTACATAGCAGGAATGTGGATGCTGTCTTCTTACTAAAGCCATGGGCACACAATGGAATCGTATTTGTTTACTTATAACTTATATGAAATAGAAAGTTAACAGTAACTGGTAAGAATGGAAAATATTTCTCTTATGCAAAGGCACAAACATGTTTGAAAGCATTAAAATTAAACAAATGGTGATCAAACTGAGCTTTCTATACAAGTAGATCATGAACAGAGAGCAATATTTTTAAATTTGCATTGTAAATATTGTTAAAAGCATAATTTTTAAGCTAAATTTCCTATTTCTTGTGATGCATATTTAGTTTTCAATACACTAATTTGTTAAATATATATCTTGGGGCATTGAGGTGGTTCTGATGCTTTAGCATCTGACTCGTAATTTCAGCTCAGGTCATGGTCCCAGGGTCATGGGCTCAAGCCCCCTGCCCACCCCTGTGATGCTCTGTGTTGAGTGTGGAGCTGCTTGGGATTTTCTCTCTTTCTCCCTCTGCTCCTCTCCCCCATTCTATCCAACATAAATTAATTAATTAATAAAATATTTTTTTAAAATAGTAGAAATTATGTTATTTCGAAGTCTTTAAAGAATTGTTTCTAAAATTAAATTAAATTAAATTAAATTAAGAACAAATTGTTTCTGTCCTTCATTTGTTTAAGGATTCATTATACTAATTAAGTGATGTCTATTTTGGTTACTTCTGCAGGATATGGTCCTCCAGTCTATAAGACTATTTTGTTTATTGCGTGGCTTGATTTTAACGAGATTATCCATTCACTTCGTATACAAAGGGGGGAGCTTTACACGAAGGGATCACTTGGAACGGGTTTCCAGCTGTGTGGACAAGGGATGACCCCTGTCCAGGCCCTGTGGGACTGTGTTGCATAAAAAGTGTATCTAATATTGACTGAATGCCATCCCAGGCCTCTTGCAGGTGCTCCACCTGCATTATTTCATTCAATACTCACAGCAACCCCTAAAATGGCTTTTTAAATTTTTTCCCAGAAGAGGAAACGGGGGACATAATTTGCCCGACATCACACGGGTATAGAGAAGGGGTGCCACCCGCAGAAGTCACTATGTAGCTATTCTGTCCCATCTGTCAGTACACTACTCGGATTCGCCGAACTTCGTATCCTAACTCGGACAAAATGGTGAACGTGCTTTGACTCAAGCAGCAGGTGGAGGGACGGACTCTCAGTCTTCCAGCTAGCGCTAGGCTCGGGGTTCCAGGCGGGAGCCTGAGGGTCCTGTCTCCTAGGCAACAGCAGTAGCGCTGTGGGCGTTAATGCACCCTTTACCCAGGACCCAAAGGGGTGATGTCATTTCCTCCGTCTGGGCGGTTGCCCCAGCGACGCGTCAGGCCGAAGAGCGGTGTTGGGTACCCGAGAGACCTGGCGGGGAGGAAGTCACTTCCGCCCAGAGACGCTGTTTCCTAGCAACCTTCTCCCATCTCCGCTTTTAGTCCCTCCTCTTTGCTCAGTACTGGGACAGTGTCCGAGAGCCGGAAGGCCCAGGCCGGGGCGAGAGGCTCTAGCCCCAGGCCAGGCGCTCAGTCCCCAGGGTAGCAGAGAGGGCACCGCGGGATCGGCGGGGTGGGTACGGCACGCGGGTCCTGAGGGTCTCGGAGGAAGGGGACTGGGACAGCACTCGGTGTGCACGGGCCGGTAGAGTGCTGGGAGCTGGGCGGGCGGTCCGCGCGGTGCAGTGCGGAGCTTGTGGGGACCCGGGTGCCACCTGGCCTGGCAAGAGCGGTCCCCGGGCGCGCGCCGCGGTGGATGGAGGGGTGGCGGAGACCCGAGCCTCCATTCCTAGCACAAGAAAGGTTCAAGGAGTGATTTTAATGCTGCCTCTCACGGAAGCTTCGTTTTGTGTTAGCTCGCCCTATTAGCACTTTTATGGAAGGGAAGAGAGACTGGACAAAAATATAGCTATTGCAGTTTAGCATTATGACCTTCGTCTTTCACTAGAGCTGTACGCAAGGTTTTTTTGTTTTGTTGGTGCTTTTTTTTGTTTTTTCTTTTTTGGTTGTGCTCTTGGGTTTATCCTTTACGCTGCCAGTCTCCTGGTAGTTTTTAAAATAAGGTTTTAAATAAGGTATGGCTCTTTCTTGGACAATGTTATACTTTAGGAAGGGAAGAGGGGTGAAAAAAAGATATTATATTTTAATTGGCAACATTTTATCACATTAACCAGTTGGCAATCATTTATTTGATGATCTTTAAAATAATTGCAAAACTATTTGAGGACAACTTCAATTTGACTTTTCTTTGATAACAAACTGGTGAGAATTTTATATTTCTTTAGAAGAACTCTACATATTTAAGTGAATATTAGTTCAGTGTTCATATGAGATGCTTTTCTTAAGTGTTTTTTGTTAGCTCTTTTTTTTTTTTTAGCACTGAAGGGTAGTGATAGAAATTCTCAAATATGCAAAGAAGTCTGATTTGTTTTTTGTATATTTCAGACACCATCAGAATTTGAATTATGTCCATTACCTATTAGGCATTTTATAAATATTTTTTAAAAAGAAAGAAAGAAAAAACACTATGTCTGATGAAGTTTTTAGCACAACTTTGGCTTATACAAAGAGTCCAAAAGTCACGAAAAGAACTACTTTCCAGGTAAAGTATTTCAAAACCTCTTTATTTTGAGTGACTTCACAAGATGAACACTGTATTAGTAAAGGTGGACTTGAACTGATTCTAGGAATGGCCTTGTGTAAGCAGGAGTAAATCTTACATCCTTTTGGAGATTTTGCAGATGTTTGGGCTCCCGTATTACCAACTCTTCTGTGTGGCTTTCAGACTACTAAACTAGCTTCTACAGTAGGTTCTTACTAAATTAAATTTTTAAATCAGCTTTTAAAAGTTAAATTATATAGCAACTTTAAATGTACGTGTATGTTTTTGGGTTTCTTTTTTTCATTTCAGTTTTCTGAAACCCTTTCAGTTTTATCTGTCTAGTCAGCGCAGTGTGGAACTCAGCTTCTAAGTTTGCCGTATTGATTATGTTTATTACTGCAATATGCTGAGACAAAAGATCGCAAAAAGTACCAGTTTCCTCCCAAATGCCAATGTGTAATAAATCCTGTATACATTGAGTCCTGTCTTGTTTATTTCTTCTCCTGCCCTAATTACAGCTTGTAATTCATGTATTTGATGTTGTCTGTTTCCTCCAGTCTAACTGTAAGCTCTGTGAAGGAAGGGATCTCGTCAGTGGTGTTACAACTGAGCGTGAGGGTTTGGGTGCATGGCTTAAGGAATATATGCTCTATGAATGACACCTGGGTTTGAAAGCAATTAATCGAGCATCATTTGTTTAAGGAACTAATTCTAAATATGAGACCTCTATGCTTGGGTGGAAATTGATCTCAATTATCTCGTTTCAGGATGAGCTAATAAAAGCAATTACAGCCCGCTCAGCCAGGCAAAGAAGTTCCGAGTACTCCGATGACTTTGACAGTGATGAGATTGGTATGTGTGAACAGGGCAAAGTAAAGCACGTGTCCTTTTTGCACTTAGCCCATCCCTACACAAATAATCTCTTAAGTTAAAATAATACCTATAAATACACTGGTTTTAAATTTCCAACTTTTTAATGAATCAAATGCCATTCATAGTTTTTAAGAAGTTGTATGATTGTCTTTGTTTATTTCTGAACATGTATACTGAAAATAGAAATTAATTGATAGCAGCTTCCAGTAAAAGGATGTATGTGAGTTGTAAACTATGTTGGATACAACAATGTCAACCCTATGAGATCTTCCAGTGACTTGAAAACTAGGGCCTCTGAAATTAAACTTTGGTGCACATCGGACTCATTTTTATCATGCTTTTTATAAACCAGACTTCGGGGCTATCATAGGGGCTCAGTTTTAAAAGCCTAGCCTATCGGCACTGGTATGATTTGATTTGGTCTCTTTTGATTATGTAAAAATATTAGCATTTTAAGTTTCAAGTGTAAAGACATAATTCTAACCTCGCAAGTCAGTGTTTTATACTTTAATATTCAGTGACCAGCTTTTGATATTCTCTTTAAAAATTATCAGAACAATAGTTAAATCATTGCTATATCATTAAGTTAGCATTCTTTATCACTCTTCTCATAGTAAAATAGAATACTCTGGTATGGATGAAATTGTAGTTCTGAAATTTTTATGGAAAAAAATATAATTAGCAAATAACCAGTTAAGTTTTTTCACTTACCGATATTCTTGATTTTATATAATGAAGTCATTTGCAGATAAAAGATCTACAGTCCAAAACCTACTTAAAATTGTTATTTTGAGGAACCGTTGGATGATCCTCAAAGCAAGTGTAGGGCATGGCACACTCTTCATACTCAATAAGTATGTTTTGAATAAATTAATGAAATTTTTATTTTATAAATACAAACAAAAACTCCCTAAGTTAGCCGTGTCTTATAACAGTTTATAAAACAGACTTGCATCCATACTAGTTGTAGGTTCATTTTACAACCTTAAAGATTACTCTTCGAGGTCATCTTTTTGATTCATGTAACCTTCACGACTTTAAAAGAGACTGTTGAAAACATGTTTTCTCTCCCATTTCTCAGTTTCCTTAGGTGATTTTTCCGATACCTCAGTAGATGAAAATTCAGATAAGAAAAAAATGAATGATTTCCATTTATCAGATGATGAAGAAAAGAATTCTCCAAAATTGTCTTTTTTGAAAACCAAGAAATCAAACACTGACATGATGAAAGACCAGCCAGAATTCTCCACCAAAAGTGCTGAGGACATGGCACCTGCTGGTTGTGAGGATGTGGTGCGAGTGCCCTTGTCTGAATCTCAAAGTGAAGAGCAGGAAATTGGAAAAGATAAAATTAAAATGAAACCTAAACCCAGAATTCTTCCAGTCAAAAGCACCCCTTCAGGTAATTTGCAGTTCTTGAAAACTTATTTGCAGATAATCACAAAACATCTTTATATGGTAGGTAGGAGATATTTAAAAAATAGACTTAACTTTGTAATTTCAATTTTTCTTAACTTTTATTCAGTTTTGAGAGACAGAGAGACAGAGCGTGAGTTGGGGAGGGGCAGACAGAAAGGGACACAGAATCCTAAGCAGGCTCCAGGGTCCAAGCTGTCAGCACAGAGCCCAACACGGGGCTCAAATTCACGAATGGTGAGATCATGACCTGAGCTGAAGTTGGCCGCTTAACTGACTGAGCCACCCAGGCTTCTCTGTAATTTTAGAGTTATAAGTCAAAGTAATGGATTTAAAAAACACATAGTTCTGGCGTCCAGTTGTATGTCAGTCTTGTGTGTATGCTGGTGCCTTTTAGAAGGCCAGACAGAGTACCTTGTCATCCACAGCCGTGGCTCCCAGAGCTAGGTCGAGGCCTTGGGGCTTCAGTTTTGTTTTAAGGGATGGGATTGCAATGCACTCCTTTCTAATCCATTTTACACTCCAGAAATTAGAGTTCCAGCAGCCTTAGAACTCATCCTTCAGAGAATCATTCCCGTGCCGTCATTTGCCTGAAAATTTTTTTTGATGTGAGCATTTGAAGGGAGAGAGTTTTGTTGTTGGTGTTCTTATTTAAGCCTCCAACTTTCCTGAAGAAAAGAGAATCTCTATTTAGCTTCTCTGTTCCCTGGGAAAGCCCACTGAAACTGAGTTTCCTGAAGGGGAGTTCCTTGGTTGGGAGTGCACTAGTTTCTCCACAATTCTGAGCTCTAGGCAGTGTGGCGCAAAGACGGAGTGGAGCAAGAACCAGCCTCTCTGAGGCCCCCTGAGCCGCCACAGGGGCATAGAAGATTAAGCGTTTGGTGATTTCTAGCCTTTTTTTCCTGTTTTATGGAAAAAAAATATTCATCGATACTTACCTTCATAAAAATCTATTTTCTTTATATCATTAAATACTGTACTGGTAAATGTTTCATACTTTACCTGTTAGGTATCACTGGTAACATAAGACAGAAGTGTATTTCAGACGTAGCCCATTAACTTTCAAATGAGAAGATATGAACAGAGCAGGATAAAAGCCACTGTATATTAATTACAGGTGACCTTAGTAATTAGGGTAAGCCTTACTGTCTTTATGAGGAGGAGGATAAAACCTGTTCTTCTTGTTCCACAGAATCATTTTGAGAGTCTATTGCAGTGTGTCTCAGAAACTATGCAATTCTACAAAATAAAAGTACAAGGCATAATGAAACAGAATTAAATTGCTGAAATGTACCTTCCCAATGTATCAAATAGCATCAAAACTGGAAAGAAAGCGAACATAATGGAACTTGGCAAATAATCCACTTGTTCATCATTTCACAAAATACATTCTACAGTTTGTTCATTGGTATCATTGGAAAAACATAAAAATATAGACATATTAAAATAATTCTTTATGAGAGGACTTCTTGGGACCTTTAATAAAGAAATATGCATGAGAAATCTTTAAGAAGGATAGAGTAGACAGTGTTTCCTAGTCCTAGTGAATTTAGAAATCTATTTTGATGGATTATATTTATCCTATTTGTCTTGATTTTGCAAAGCTTTTCCTTAGTTAAATAAGAAAGTATAAGCATACAGAAGCTAAAAGTTGGTTTGATGTAGGTAGAGGTATATAATTAAAATTTTATGGTAGATAATCATTAATCACTTATTTAATACCTTTTTTTTTAAAACCTGAGACAGGCTAAAATGAATAGAGAAATACTTTCTTTAAACCACAAGATGGCACCAGGATTCTAAATACTCTACCTAAATGTGCAATACTTTATTTTTAAAGTCATTAGCCATTTGCAATTCACTGGATGTAATGTAAAAATAATTACCAAAAACAAGTAATCATTTACATTTAATTAAAAAAGAAAGCATTTTCAAAATGTATAGAAGTATTTTTTTCTTTCTGAATTGATAATATTTCTAGATGTGGAATTATGGTATAAATTATATGAAAGTCATTATTTCTAGGCTCTTTGGATTGAAAAAAAATTGAGGCTAATGGTTAGTGCCTGGCATTTACAATTCAGTAAGTATTTTAATGTCTAGGGGCACCTTAGTGGCTTAGTCATTTGAGCGGCAGACTTCGGCTCAAGTCATGATCTCATGGTTCATAAGTTCGAGCCCCGCGTCGGGCTTTGTGCTGCCAGCTAGGTCAGAGCCTGGAGTCTACTTTGGATTCTGTGTGTATGTCTCTCTCTCTCTGACCCTCCCCTGCTCACACTGTCTCTCTCTCCGAAATAAATAAAAACATTAAAAAAATTTTTTTTAAGTATTTTAATGTATAAATGAATAAACGAATGATTCATTCATGAAAGAAAGAATGTGGTTTACAGATTAAGCCTCATCCCTCTCTAAATTTTTAGACTTTTTTTCCTACAAAGTTTGGAACTTAATTTTTAAAAAAAGTTTTTGAAGATGTATTCATTTTTAAGAGACAGGGAGAGACAGAGTGTGAGTGGGGGAGAGGCAGAGAGAGAGGGAGACAGAGAATCAGAAGCAGACTCCAGGCTCTGAGCTGTCAACACACTTAACTGACTGAGCCACCCAAGCGCCCCTGGAGCTTAATGTTTTTAATGGGGTGAGACATTGCTGAGTAGCAATTAATGCTTTATAAAAATATTAGAACCTGAAAGTTTCCTTTGTTCTTGATTGGCTTTTGTAAAAAGAGCAATAACTAGACTCTTTATTTCACTTTATCAAGCAACTGTCATGTGGGCAGTGATTGTAGAAAGTAATCTTTACGGAGTATATTGTTTTTATTTTAACATTAAAATGACTAAAGTCATGAACTTTGGAGTCAGGGTGCTCTTGCTTTAATCCCACAAACTAGAGTTTGTGATCGTGGGTGTATAACCTCTTTGTTCCTCACTTTATTTGTCTGTGAATTGGGCATATTAGTTGAACCTGCACTAGAGGTTTGAGACAATTAAATGAGTTTATAGATTTGAAGTGTTTAGAGCAGTCTGCTGAAAATTAAGCACTTTTCTAAATGTTTTTATTGTTTATTGTTTAGGATTTGCTCATAAGCAGATCAATTTATTTTTCCACATATATTTATTGTGAATAGAGTCTTATTTCACTATGTTACAAGCACTGTGATGATAAGTAAGAATACGACATTATAAAGACATAGTACTGATCCTCCAAGACTGTCATAGTCCATTTGGGCCACTGTATCAAAGCGCCATAGGCTGGATGGCTTTTTAAAAACAGAAACCTCTTTCTCGCAGTTCTGGAAGCTAGCCATCTAAGGTCACAGTGCCAGCATGGTCAGATGAGACGGAACCCCTTCTGGGTCTCAGATTTCTTATTGTATCTCTATGTGGTGGAGGAGTGAGGGAGCTTCCTGGAGCCTCTTTTATAAGGGCACTAATCCCACTCATGAAAATTCCACCCTCATGGTCTGATCCCCTCCCAAAGGCCCCACCTCCTAATACCATCGCTTCCATGGTTAAGATTTCAACCTAAGAATTTGGGGGCGGGGGAGGCACAAACCTTCAGATCATAGCAAAGACTTTACAATTTAATGGAAGGGTATATAAAAGGTACCTAAGGAAACTAGCACCTAGGTGTACTTGTAGGCATCAGGGAGGGCTTCCTGGAAATGGCAATAATAGTAGTAACTGCCAAATAGTAGTCAGAAGTGTTGGTTGTAAATCAACTCAAACTTCAGTGGAAAGAGGAATTTCTCACCTTATTGAGCATGATGTCAGAAGACCTCTCTTTAGGTGTGATTAAATTTAGAGACCGTACTTTTTATGTCCTTGGAATTCTCTCGACTTCTGTCTTCCTTTGCTGACTCCCAGGCCTTCTCACTCTCTCTGGCCCAGTTACTCCATCCCTTGCCCCCCCCCTTTTTTTTTTTTTGGTCATTTGGTCTTTTTGTCTCAGCCATCCCTTCACTTGGCAGGAAGGAATCCCAATAGCAGTCCCGAAATCATATCCTCACATGTGCATGTGACCTTAAAGGTATATCCTCCAACTCCAAATAGAAAAACACTGACCTCCTGACCTCCTGCTGTGGTCAGGGGAAATGAAGTTTCTGTGATTAGCTGGGAGGGTGGTGTGCATTGCGGACCCACCCTTTGCACTGAGGTATGGAGGAAGTATTTGTTAATCTACTAGAATCACAAGGATGGAGAAAAGGAGAGACTATCCCAAGGAAAATAGGAGTGGTGGACAAACCAAAAAAAAAAAAAACAAAGAAAGAAAGAGGAAAGGAAAAGTTTACCAGAATTATCAATGTTCATTGAGTTCATGACTCAGGTACTGTGCTATATACACTTTACATGTATTTTCTTACTCAGGTCCCACAGGTACCTTAGGAATTCTTAACTCATGTTACCGACGGGAAAACTGAGGTATGTGGAGGTTATATGATTGTGTAAGGTTACCGTGCCAATAAGTGTCAGAGCCAAGGTTCAAACATGAAATATCTGAAATAGACAAACTCATACAGAGAGAAGGTAGAATGGTGGTGGCCAGGGGCTGTGAGGAGAGAAAAAGGGCACTTACTGTTCAACAGGCATAAAGTTTCCCTCGAGCAAGATGAAAATGTTCTAGAGAGCTGCTGTGTGCCACTGATCCTTTAGTTGATAATACTGTAGTGTGCACTTAAAATTTGTTAAGAGGGGAGATCCCTTGTTAAGTGTTCTTATCACAGTAAAAGACACTGACTCGGCACCTTCTTTCAGGCGTTATACAATATTCCGCTTACCGTGAGGCTTGAATGGCATGCAAGTATTTGTCAGGAGAGGAAGCAGGAGGCAGACATTCTAGGCAGAGGGATCAGCTTGGGTAAAGGTGTGGTAGTAACAGGAGGGTCTGTTGCGCAGCCCCGAGAGAGCAGTGAGCTGAGTATTTCAGGAACACAGACTACAGAGTGGGCGTGCCAGTAGACAAGGCAGCGCTGGTAGCCTGGGCGAAGACTGAGACCTTTTATACTGTTCAGAGGCAATTAAGCTTTTATTTGGTAGGATTGGATGCTGGGGAGCCATTGGGGAATTTTGTGGAGAAGAGTGATGTAATCTGATTTGCATTTTGTAAATACCTCTGAGGCAGTAATCGGAAAGAGTGAATGAGGAGCTGATGGCGGGGACGTAGAAAGTAGGGTAAAAGAGATTTAGCAGAAGAATCAATAGGGAGTCCTGATGCTCTGGACATAAGGGAAACATGGGGAGGAATCCAGCATAGGCTTGAACATTTGGCCAGAGTTGAGAACACAGCTAAAATTGGCAATAAAACATTTATCGTGGTGCCAGCTTGGTATGGTGATGGAATCTTCTAGCAACATTCATAAGCCCATATGTAGCTAACGAGGAGGAAGGTGTTGATTACTTCAGTTTTGAAGTTTTGTCAGAAGAAAGCACTGGTAGAACAATGGAGAAATGACTATGTATAACAGGTAACATTTAGACAAAGCGTTTACGTAAAACACTTTCTTACATTTGGAGGGCTGGAAGTATACCAGCCTTACATTGTTGTTTTAAACTTGGAAGTAATGGGAATAGTAACTCAGAAACTTTAAAAACTGTGGAGAAGTTTTATGGACTCAAAGAACACAGCTCACAAGTATAGTTCTTCATTCCTCTCTCCAGTGAGAGCAGCACTCCTGTCCCCTGTCCCCACATCATCTTCTTACTTGTCACAGAACTTACCTTTCTCTCGCAATGTCTTTTGCTTACAATCATCTCCCCTCCCAACCTGTAAATCCTTAGACAGGGCCATTGTCACTGTCTTGATTATGAAGTCCAGTAACGTGAGTAATGTGTGGGTTATATAGGTTCAGCACCTGACAGCAGACACTCAGTCAAGGTTTATGGATGAACCCCCTCATGTTATAGAGGCAGAAACTGGGGCACGGCTGGTGTTTTGTGTTTTATTTTTTTATTGTTTTGAATGCTATGAGAGTTTATAACATTGAGGAGTCAACTTCTCACACAACTAAACTGGTTACTTTCAGGATGGCAGCTACTTTGAAAACAAAAGTTGATTTTGAACTATTGCTCGTTTGTGCTTTCTGGAGCTCCGTGTAGAGAAGGGCTGCGGGCTTCTTCTGAACTGTCCAGGAAAGAGAGCCAAGGTGCATGGGCCCAGGAGGAGTATGGCAGCACCCTAGGGTGTAGTTGAAATCATGGTCATTTTTTGGTATGCTCACCTTAAAACACTTTATTTTTTGGCAGAACGCAGTAGTAGCCTTGAAGCAGGCAACCACTTCAAGCCTTTACCTCGGCCACGGACCATGTTGAAAACACACAGCCACAGGGAGGAGAAAGAAGGGCCAGGAGAAGGTGAAACAACTGCCCTCCGTGAAGAATTGGAGGCACATTCTGCATCTTCCCCCCTCCCAGCGCTAGATGACAGACAACTAGAAGCTGAGAAAAAAACATTCTCCGAAAACCTAGATCCTGAGGTTAGTGCTAATGGCTGAACTGCTGAATTTGTACTTGAACTTGAAACAGAGGTCTTTGCCTCTGATTCCGAAAAAGAGAATTTGTGTGTGTGTGTATGCGTGTGTGTGTGTGTGTGTGTTACATGTTCTTTTCAGCAATTTGAAAAATTTTTATTTTTATTTATTTTGATAGGGAAAAATGTAAAGACATTTTTAATGTATAGTATTCCATTGAATCTAAAGCTCCAACTGTAAGATATAGTGAAGATGTATGTAGCATTATTTTATGTACTGCTAAGACAGAAGAAAACTCTGACAACAAATCTGTAATCCACCAATAATTATAAGATGGATCATCCAATTTCAGAGAAAGTAAATGTGAAAAACATGTTGCACTTTTAAAGTGCAAAAGATTGTTTATTTTGAGAGAGACAGAATGTGGAGGAGAGGCAGAGAGAGAGGGGAAAGAAAGAATCAAAAGCAGGCTCTGTGCTGACAGTGCCCCCAGTGCAAAGCTCAGTCTCATGAACTGTGAGATTACTACCTGAGCCGAGATCAAGTGTCAGACAGTTAACGGACTGAGCCACCCAGGCACCTCTCAGCAAATGTTTATTGAATGATCATAGCAGTGTCCCATATCTGGGGGATATGCCAGAGTGGGAGTAAGTATGATCCTTCAGGATTTCCTCAGCGAGTATACTAGGTGTTATTGCAGGAGAACACTTGGGCCCCTCTCTTTACATTTCACTACGGTTAGTGAACTTGCACCTAACGTTTCAGAAGGCGTAAGTATGGGAAGAATGTTCCCTCTCTATAATCTGCTTTAGCAGATCAGGGAAAAGGAACTAAATGGTACCTGGTTGAGCTTCTTTCTTTTTCTCCTCACTCCTCTGTGGTAGTGATGTGTGTGTAAGGATCCGGTCCCTTCCAGGCAGTACACAGGGGGCTGGAGCACCTCCTTCATGTTATGACTAAATGGATGAATGCTTCCAATTCAGAAGGGAAATATTAGCACAATACTGATTCAAATTTGGTTTTATAGTATAGCTTTACCGGTAAAGCTGACAGTCTGAGGTAAATCTAGCTGAGCTCAAGGTGTGATTTCCTAATATGTTCTGAAATCAAGAGAAGACAAGGGGGTGTAATCAAACAGTTATTTTATATTTAGTAAAACTATTTGCCCAAGTGGGTTTTGTGTCAGTTTACTATAGCTACTGTAACAAATTGCCACAAACTGATGACTTAAAATAACTGAAATTTATTCTCTCAGTTCTGGAGGGCAAAAGTCCAAAATCAAGTTGGGGGCAGCGCTGTGTTCCCTCTGGAGGCTCCAGGGAAGAATGCTTCCTTGTTTCTTCCAGCATCTGTTGGTTGCCAGCCATCTTTGGTGCCCCTTGGCTTATAGCTGCCTCACTTCATCCCTGCCGCCATCATCATGTGGCCTTCTCTTCTTCCCTGTGTCTCAGTGTTTCCCTCTCTTTTCTCTAAAAAAGACACCAGTCATTGGATTTAGGGCCCACGTAATCCATTGTGTTCTCATCTTAACTAATTCCATTTGAAAACACCTTCTTTTCAAGTAAGATCACGTTCTGAGGTTCTGGATGAAATTTTGAGGGAATTTTGAGGGAACACTATTCAAAGTGGTATTGATACCTAACTTTAAATGCTCTTTGCTAGCATTTCTGTATCCCTTGATTTAAAAAAAAAAAAAAAAAAAGGTATTCCTGAAGTTTTTAAAATAACATCATATTATGAAAAGATTTAATCAAATAAAATATCAACCCGTAATCATATCATCTAATAACAACTACATTCATCATTCTTATTCCCTTTTAGGCTATTTTCCTGTAACTGCTTTAGCAAACTTGCCATTTTAACATAATGTTTGTATCATGCTTTTTCTTTATCTCTTAGCATTAGGTCATGAAGTATTTCCATATTGCTGGGTGAGCTTGAGAAGACTACATTCACCTTATGATTATAACATAACCCATAACGTAAAACTCATGTTATTTCTGTGTACTCTGGATACTTCTATTTTTAATAATCTGAATGTTCCATATTTCTCATTGTGAAAATCTTCCTGACTATACTCCGAATCTTCTTTCAGCCCACCCCCTCAGGGATTTCTCATCTAATTTTTGTTCAGCTCTTGTCTCTTCTGTGTCTTTAGCCTTTGGCTCTTCACTGGAAGTCAAAAACTGGAGGGCTGTGTGTCTCTCCATATTCTACTCTGCTCAGGTCTCTAACTGTGTACACACCTCACTTGATACCTCACCTCTCACCCCTGCCCTACCTTCCTGCAAATGTCACAGCTGGATTTTGAAAAGGTGACATTTACTTTCTCAACATCCTCACTTCCTACCTTGTGTGTGTGTGTGTGTGTGTGTGTGTGTGTGTGTATGTGTGTGAGAGAGAGAGGTGGAGATGGTACATATGTCTAACTAAGCATTCCTGGGATAAAATCTGGTTGAGCACAGTAGAGAATTTTATTGTGGCATTTGATTTGTTAATATTTTTTGTTAAGATTTCTACATCTATATTTATAGAGGCTATTTGTCTATATTTTTTTCCCTTATAATGTTATTATACGGCTTGGGTATCATATGAGTTGGGGAGTATCTCTTCCTCTCTTATTTTCTAAAGTTTGTTTGGTATGAAATCAAAACCTTAGTATCATTTTTTTTCTTTCCTTAATTAAGAGAACTCACTAGTGAAATTGTCTGGGATTTTCTTTGTGGTGAGGTATTTGACAGTAAAGTGTATTTTTTGATAGATATTTGGTATTCAGATTTTCTATCATCAGTTTGATAATTTATGTCTAATAAGAAATTTGTCCATTTCATCTGAGATGTTGAATCTATGAACATGAGGTTGTGATAATTCCTTTATTCTTTTGATGACAGTAGGATTATCACAGCATTCCATCTTTTGTTTCTAATATATAGTTTATGTTTTCTCTTTCTTGTAATATCTTGATAAGCATTACCCAGTTTTATTAACTTTTCTAAGAACCAACTTCTGCTTTGTCAATTTTCTCTATTTGTTTCCAGTTTCACTGATTTTCTCTCTTCATTATTTCATTTCTTTTTTTCTTTTACTTTTAGTTTAATTTGCATACCCTTAAGTTAGAAAATGTTTTCATTGATTTTAAACCTTCATCCTTTCTATTAAAACCTTTAAAAACTATAAATTTCCCTCTCCGCACTACGTAAGCAGCACCCAATTTTTAATGCCTTTTATTTTCATTATCATTTCTTTAAATATGTTTTCTAATTTCCCTTGTGATTTCATTTTTGGCCAATTGGCTATTTTGTGGTGAGTAATTTTATTTTCAAATATTTGGATTTTCTTTATATGTAATTTTGTATTGAGTTGTAATTTGATTTTGTTATGATCAAAGTATATATCTTACATGATTTCACATTTTACAAAATTTTTTAGATTTTTTTTTTATGGACCAGCGTAAGTGTATTTCTGAAAATTCCATTTGCATTTACAGAGAATGCAAGTTTTGCAGATGTTGGGTGTACTGCTCTATAATTTCAGTTTGGTAAAGGTGGCTGGTGGTGTCATTGGGATCTTCTCCATCCTCACTGAGTTTTTGTCTGATTGGTTTACCAAGTATCAACTAAGGATTGTTAATATTTCCAGTTAGGTTTGTGAATTTGTTCTTCCCTTTAGTTCTGTCAGTATTTTATGACTGTCTTAGACACATACACATTTATTATTATTATGTCTTGACCTTATTTACATTACAAAATGGTTCCACCTCTGGTAATACTCCTTATCTTGAAGTTTGCTTTGTCTAATATTTCAGCTTTCTTACTACCGGTGTTTGCATGATTTATATCTTCTTGTATCATTCTCTGCAAACTATTTGTGACTTTTTCTTTTATATATAATTTTTTATAATAATTTCTAAAATAGCTGTTAGTTGTCACTTTTTTTTTTTAATCAAGCCTGAAGTCCACTTTTTAATTGTAGTCCATCTGTGAGTATTTAGTCCACTTACTTTTAATTTAGGACCAATTTACTGCTGTGTGTTTTCTATTTATCTGGGTTTTTTTTAAGTTGATGCTGCTATTGTTGTTCCTCTGTAACACTTTCCCTGATTTTTTTTTTTGAGAGTTAATCACATAGGTTTTAGTTTCCAATTTTGATTCCTCTATTGCCTTTTTAACTGTACCTATTTGTGTTATGTTTTTAGTAGTTGCTCTGTGAATTACAAGATGCAGCTATAAATTCTCACAACCCACTTGGTATCAGTACTGTAGTATTTCATATTTAATATAGAAACCATGTGATAGTGTAGTTCCATCCATACTGCTATTGTTGTCACAAATAATGCATTTACATATGGTATAATTCCCACAATACAGTGTTACAATTTTTCTTTACAGAAAAATTTTTTGTCTTTGACTTTTAAAGAATTAAAAGAAAAAAAGAATAAATATTTATGGTTTTCTAAAATGTGAATGCTATTTCTAAGGATCTTTATTCCTTTCTATAGATCCATATTACTTTCTAGTATTATTTCCCTTCAGTTTTAAGAATTTATTTTTACATTTCTTGTAATGTGGGTTTGCCAGTGATGGGTTCTCTCAATGCTATCTAAAAAATATTTATTTCATCTTCATTTTTTCAAAAAAAATTAATGTGTATTTGTTTTTGAGAGAGAGAGAGAGAGAGAAAGCACAAGCAGGGGAAGGGCAGAGGAAGAGGGAGACACAGAATCCAAACCAGGCTCCAGCCTGAGCTGTCAGCACAGAGCCCAAGTGGGGCTCAAACCCAGGAACTGTGAGACCATGAGCAGACTTGAAGTCAGACACTTAAATGACTGAGTCACCCAGGCGTCCCTATTTCATCTTCATTTTTGAAGGACAGCTTAGCTGAGTATATACTTCTAGGCTGATGACAATTTCTTTCTCATCAACCCCATCCCCCCCAGCTCTTTATTAGTTTCCGTTGTTCCTGGCTGGTATTATTCCCAGTGTGAAATCAGCAATAATTCATTTTGTTGTCTTCCCGTGTATGTTCTGTTTTCTTCTGGCACATTGTTTTCAAGAAATTTTTTAAGGGTTTTTTTTTTATTTTTTTAACGTTTTATTTATTTCTGAGAGATAGAGAGACAGCGTGAGCAGGGGAGTGTCAGAGAGAAAGGGAGATACGCAATCTGAAGCAGGCTCCAGGCTCTGAGATAGCTGTCAGCACAGAGCCTGATGCAAGGCTCGAACCCACGAACCGTGAGATCATGACCTAAGCTGAAATCAGATGCTTAACCAACCGAGCCACTCAGGTGCCCCATTTTCAAGATTTTTTAAAAGATTTTTAATGTTTTTTTTAATTTTTAAAATCTTTTATTTAATTCTTTTTCTTAAATAGTTTATTGTCAAGTTGGTTTCCATATAACACCCAGTGCTCATCCCAACAAGTCCCCTCCTCCATACCCATCAAATGTCTTCCTTTTGCCATGCATAGATGAACCAAAGGTTTGGGGTGAATATTATATCCAAATTTTATATCATGCCCACTACAGCTCTTCCTTAAACTTACTGACTGATTTTATAGTCCCAAACTCCATGTCCTCACCCTTTAAGCCAGCCCAGTGAGGCCGCAGCCTTCTACCAGTCTGGCTGCAAGGATGGGTGAATGCTCTCAGGCAAAAATCTACCAACTTGTCAGTCTCTTCTGGTAAAGCTTTGTCTCTCAAGGTAGATTGCTGTGTGTCGACCCTTCTGCCATTTTCTCAGATAGTTTCTACTTACTGCTTTTGACAAATAATTTTCTTTGTACCCATAAAAAATTGTGAGAAAGAAAAATAGAATTTATGCAGTAAAATCAAACTTCTTACATTATGATACCATCAACTTTAGGCTAGATTACTATTCTGTAAAGAGATGTTTAGTGCAGACACACAAATGTCATTATTTCACTTCAGATATAATTTTCAGAATTTTGAGAAAAACTGAAATGCATGGGATCTATGTACTTTTTCTATCTAAATATTTGGTAGTAGTTGTCTACTTGGTTTTATATTGCTTTCATTTGGACAACAAGTACCATTTGACCCCAAGTATACCATTTTTATACTTTCTTAGAAAAAAGAATTAGAGAAAAAGATACTAAATCTTTGTCTCAAATATTTATGACATTTGATTTGAGAGCATGAGTTTTGAAAATCGCTAAAAACAGGGGCACCCAGGTGGCTCAGTCAGTTAAGTGGCTTACTTTGGCTCAGGCCATGTTCTCATGGTTCGTGGGTTCAAGCCTCACATCAGGGTTTGTGCTAACGGCTCAGAGCCTGGAGCCTGCTTTGGATTCTGTGTCTCCTTCTCTCTCTCTCAAAACTAAATAAACATTTGAAAAAAGAAAATCACTAAAAGCAAATATCAAGATACCCATTAAAGAACTAGAAAAATTCTTCAGTGACCCCTTTTAATGATTAAGACATCAAGCCTTGAAAGTAAGGCATATTAGCCTCCACAGGCTTAATGCTTTTGGTGTTTCATCCACAAACTCCTTATAATGCCGATTTCAGAGTTATAAAGTAGTCTTAATAATGCTGTTGTCTCACCACAAGTCTTAAGAATTAAACTTACATAGTAAATACTCTTCTTCTTTTCTTTCTTTTTTTTTTTAAACAGGATCCATGGTTAACAAGTTTATCATCATCATCCCTTAAAGAAAGTCTTGGAGATTCCTTATCACCAGGATCTGGGGAAAAAGCTTCCATCCTAGGTGGTTATATCAAACTGTTATATCTTATTTTATGTGTGAATTCCATATTGATTAGGATCTTATTTGCAAAAGATAGAATACATACTTTTAGGAATGATGCATGTTTGTATTTGCCTTAGTTTTAATCACCCCTGTGCTATTTACTAACTGTGTGATTTTCAATGGGGTGTTAGACATGGTTACAAGCGCAAAGTACCTAATCTCTCTGGCCCCGTATACTGATCTTGAAAATGGGGATTTAAGAGGAATCTACCTCATACACCATGGCTGTGAGAATTAAATGAGCTAATACCACATGTACAGCACTAAGAACAGCGCCACGGTAACGCACGTAGTAAGTATGAGGCATGAGTTGTTAATGCATTTCTTTCTTCAATCCTATGACGCATAGCTCAATGAGAGCTAAAAGGCATAGCTATTTCTAGGACCAGGATGTGTGGCATTTATTAAGTACTTACTGTGTAGTATAATTTTTGTCATTTTACAGATGAGAAAAACTGAAGTGCAAAGATACTGGGAAACATACCCAAAGTCAGTGATGGAGCCATGATTTGAATCTTTGGCTCCAAAGTCCTTGTTCTTTTTACTGAATACATTACTTAGCCGTTCTAAAGAATCCATTAAAGATACTGGGAGTCATGAGTGCTCTCCAAATGAAAATGTATAACTGTAATTGCAAAATTATTTTAAATAAGCCAGTTCCAAAAAATGGTTGTAATAATGGAAGCAGCAGAATTAAGACTTTGACAATAAACATACAAGGTTGGCCAGTGGGTGGACCCTAGTAGAACTGAAAGTTGGGGATCACGGACTTCTTTCTGTTGGACATTCTGAAGCGAGGCAGACAGAATAGGAGGAGCAGTTCTGTAATAATGAAACCGAATCGTGTCATGCCACAGCTTGAGACTGTCCCTTAGAGCATGCGGAAGTAATAGGCCTGCTGTTAGTGCCCCGTTGGTAGTGGAGGCGGCACTGCATCTAGGCAGAAATAAAACTGTCTAGATGAAGGCTTTATTCTCTGTGTGCTGGACTCTTCTAAGATTTCGTGAATGTTTGCTTCTCCTGCAGCTCTACAATTTCACCTCTGTACCGCTTGTACCGCTAGTAACAGAGATGTGTGCCTCCTGCCCACACAGCTTCTTGTTCCAGCTAAGAAACACAGGCTTTCGAATAGAATAGATAGATATTGCACTTACTTGGTTTATCATCACTTACTTGGTTTATCATCAATAGTAGCTTCTGGTGTGCTTTTGGTGTAGGGTAGTTATTCCATTCTATTTACTAATATGATTTTTTTTCCCTAAGTATTAGGTACGTCAAATGCTTTAGTACATTAAGTAGCCATTTTCTCTTTCATACCTCACTTTGGAGAAAAGTTTATTCGGGTTGAATACAGTAGCTCTCTTCACAGTTTATTTTGCACGACAAAGACCTCGTAGACAATCCTCATTTAGTAGAAAGCAAATGAATCTGTTATCTTCCTTATTAATTCAGAAGAGAGTTTTAGTTTTGTGACTCTGTCTCAAAATAGATCAGAATGAAGAACTTACTGGGAACCACAATTCCTTGAAATCAAATGAAAATGAAGAGAATTCATTTTTGATAGACTTTGTTACTACTACACATGAGAAATCCAAGGACAGTCAAGTGATTGCTGATGACCTTGTAGAAGAAAAGGAGAAAGCTGAACTGCTTATAAATGACTTGACAGTTGACCTACCACTGTTGAAATCTCAGAGTATCGTAATATCCACTGATGCAACCGCATCTTCAAAGGTATTTTATATAAAATTATGTCTTTTATACTACAGAAAAATTCAAAATAGATCTTTTAAGTGTTTTATCTGCTACATTATGTACTCCTGAATTGTCTGTGGAAAACTCATCTTTTGATACTGGTATATTATCAAGTGATTCTTATTTAATTCAATAGAGTTTTACTTCGGGGATGGTTTGCAGTGGATATAATAATAGTCAATATTTCATTAAAAACTATCAAAGATGTATGATCATAATATACTTTTAAATATCTTGAAATATAAACACATAAGTGGGTAGGTTTCTGTAGGTCTTCATGTTACATAAAAGCAGCTATCTGGAACAATTTCTGAGGTTTTGAATTAGTGAACGTTATTCCTTTGGATGTCATTTTTAAACATTTTATCAACTTTAAGGGAAATCTTTAAGATAGGTTTACCAACATTTTTCTTGTTTAAATGGATGGACAGTATCATTATCAGAAACATTATTATTATTATAACCTTGAGAACCAGATTTATGGTTTTTAAGATTACTCAAAACTATACTATACTGTACCACAGTAGTGTACTTTTAAAATTTATGGTATAGCATTTTTAGTCTTTTTTTCTCTTGAAGTTAGTCTTTATTTCTTATACCTATAGTCAGCTGAGACTATGTGTATTTACTATTGGGGAAGATAACAGTGCTAGTTGAAAACGTGTGGTTGAATAAGACTTTTATAATACAAAATATTAGTGCTTTGTATTACAATTTATGGAGAAGGTTAATTACTATGTTCCAGGTACATTGTTCATAACCACTTTCCTTAGGAAAAATCTCTCATGCCAGGTTAGCCATGTGCTTATATCTGTGCTCTCACTTGAAATGCTAGCACCCTTCTGTGTTAAGAAGTGAAGTTACTCCTTAAAAAGAAGAAGGGTATTTGGAACTTATAGATGGGATCCTAGAAATGTCAGAGACAGTTATAAATTACAACAGGCAATTTATATATAGTAAGTAAAACCATGACGTTTATTTTGACTGAATCCTTGCTTTATCCTTAAAGGACCTTCCTTAAGTCTGAATCACATCATTCCCCTGCTAAGGTCTCTTTCTTGGATTGTCATCATAAGAATAAAATGCAGAGGGGTTCCGGCTGGCTCAGTTGGTTAAACATCTGACTAGATTTCTGCTCAGTTCATGATCTCACGGTGCGTGAGTTTAAGCCCCGTGTCTGGCTCTGTGCTAACAGCGTGGAGCCTGCTTCAGATTCTCTCTCTCAAAATAAATATATAAACTTCAAAAAAAAAAAAAAAAAGAACAAAATGCAAAACACTTTTACCACTTCCTAAGGACCTCACGTGATTCTCTCTATCTCATCTATCCCTCCACTCTGTCTGTTTTTCACTGTGCTTCAGCATCATTCACCTTTTTCTGTTTGTCAACATTATCAAGTTCTTTGCCTTCTCAGCCTCTTAGCACTGACCACTTTCTTTCCATAGACCTTCTTTCTTGTGACCCCTTTCTTCCATCATTTACCACTGATGTCAAGACCTCAGGGAGGCCTTTCCTGACCACTGTCATTAATGTCATCCCTCACTATGGTCACTGTCACGGGGCCCTCGTTTCCCCCCTTCTTGAGTCACATTTGTTTTTGTGTTTCATGTCCATCATCCCTCCCTAAAGTGTAGTATCCTTATTAGCTCCCAGTGACTGCTGTACTTGACACATAGTAGATGCTTTAAAAACATTGATTTCCTTGCGGTTTGTCCCTTAACTCTAACTGTGATCGTTATGGAGAGTAATCCTTCTATGGTATTTTCTATTTAACAGAAAACTATTGAAGACAGAAATATGAAGAATAAAAAGTCAACAAATAATAGAGCATCCAGTGCATCTGGCAGGTAATAAAGTTATCAGTGTCCCTAATTTATGAGTTTACTTCCAACAAAGCTAATTTTAGCTCAGCTTCTATAAAGTGAATTTCACTTGGTATTACTTGATTTCCTTTCAGTTCTCATCTCATGAAATGAATGAAGTAGTTAGTTTATGATTAGACTCTTCAGTTGATCATGTTTTTTTATGATGAGGCATTTATTAGGGATTCTCTATACTTTAAATTGTTCCTGGGATAGAGTTTCTTTCCTGTTTTCCTGAGACAGTAGATAGAAAGTGGTAATAAAGCTAAAATCCAGCATTATACTTCTCTAGTGTCTTTGTCTAATATATTTGTACTTAAATAATTGTACTTAAAACCTTGAGGTTCTGTGGACTAAAGTGGTTTATTAAAATGATAAGACTCTATACTGCATCATTCACACTGGTGATAATGAATCCCTACCTAACTCATAAATGTTAATCAAAAGCTTCTCACACTTTTAAGTTCCATTAATCAAATAAAACAAGAGTCAGCAACCTTACCTGTAAATTGCCAGTTAGTATGTGGATTAGGGATTGTGGGCCATACTGACTCTGTTGTGACTACTCACCTCTGCTGCTCTAGCAGGGAAGCAGCCTCAGGCCACACATAAATGATGATTGTAGCTGCAGTGCAATAAGCTTACAGAATAAATAAACTATACAAAACTAGGTAGTGGGCCATATTTTCCTGCCCACCCCTGAAATAGAAGATGCTATTCTAATGGTTTAAAATTGTTTTTTTGTAACAAAATGAGATGAGACTAAAAGTCTACTTTGTTAATATTATTTTTTCCATGTAACTTGAGATGTAATCCATGTTTCTTAAAAATGTTCTAATTACAAATATCTAAAAAGAGGGGCAATTGGTGGCTCAGTTGGTTAAGTGTCCAACTTCAGCTCAGGTCATGGTCTCATGGTTCGTGGGTTCGAGCCCATGTCGGGCTCTGTGCTGACAGCTCAGAGCCTGGAGCCTGCTTCAGATTCTGTATCTCCCTCTCTCTCTGACCCTCCCCTGCTCATGCTGTCTCTCTCTCTCTCTCTCTCTCAGAAATAAATAAAACATTTTTTAAAAATTACAACAAATATCTAGAAAGAGCAAGCACTTTGAAGCTCCTTAGTAAGAGGAGACATATCATTTTCTTTTTTTTATCATTTTCAAAGTACTTATAGTTTATTAATTTATTAATTTATAATGGAATTTCAAATAGAACACCTGTAAATTCTAATACATTTTTCTTCTACCAAGTGCAGTTGTAATAACTATGTTGATTTATTTGGATCTTTTCAGATTAATGACCTCTGAGTTTTTAAAGAAATCTAGTTCCATAAGAAGACCTCCGTCAGCAACTACCTCTTCTCACTATTTAGGGACTTTGAAAGTCTTGGACCAAAAGCCCTCACAGAAACAGAACGTAGAACCTGAAAGAGCAGATAACATAAGGGCAGCTGTTTATCAGGTAAAAAGGAAAACATTTTTAAGAAATGAAGAACTAATCACCTAATAAGGCTGCTGGTTTCTCAAGGAATAAAATGACCCTGTCAGAAATGGTGATTTAATACTTAATTTATTGGGGAAAATGTTCTTTATAGTACCTGAGCAACCCAAAGTTTTTTTTTCTTTACTAAATTATTTCTTTACAAGCCTTGCTTAACCAATCATAGCTGTTTTTAAAGAAAGAGAATATGCCATGGCAATTTCTGAAATTCCAGCCAAAGCAAAAATATTGTTAAGGTCTATATATGTTCTTATACTTTTTCTTCTTAAAATGTATATTGTAATGAAAAAGCAGTTTTAATTTTTTTCTTTCCTAAGATCTTGTATTTGAAGTAAGCTTACATAGAAAAAGACTCCTGATTTTTCCTCATTTCCAAACAGTTTCTATTTTTTGCCTTGTTTATTATACTCAACAATACACTTTAGAAAATTGTACTTGAGAATTTTGGAGAAAAATGTGAACTTATGTAGCCATTATATTCAATCTTTGAATTTTGTTGTTGAAACTAAGAAAGATAACAGATATATTTTCTTGTTCATGCTTATCTTTATATTAGAATGTTATGAGAAAAAGAAAAATGATACCAGTGCATACAGAATTTCTAAATTTTGTGTTTTGCCTTTTTAAAATTTTAATCAAATATTTCAGAAATGGATAAGAATTCTAATTCATTTGGGAAAGTTTGAATACTATATAGGGTTTTTTCTTGTTCTCACAGGAGTGGTTAGAAAAGAAAAATGTGTATTTACATGAAATGCACAGAATTAAAAGGATTGAAAGTGAAAACCTAAGGATCCAAAATGAACAGGTATTCTGAAATACAGAAGTGGAAAATATTGTGGATTTTTAAGTCACTAAAATATCTCTAAATATTTAACATTGTTCAAAATCTACTGGTTTTTAAGTGGCAAAATAACATGTATAAAAGAATTGTTTTCTGATTTTCTTTCTCTGTACTTTATACATTTTTAGTTTGATACGAGTTTGATAGGAGTTTTAGTTTGATCCGTTTTACATGAAAACAGATACACAGATTTCTCTTTTCATGGGTGACGTAGATTTGGCAGTACTAATTATGAACATTGTTGCTTACAGCAACCTAGTCATTCTTACTTCACTTTTCACTGTTACAAATTGACTTCAATCTTACAGCCTGCTTGGTAGTCTCCAACATGCTTCCTTCCTTCCCATTTTCTAAACTGAAAGTCCTTTACTGTGCTGCCCAACACTTATATGGATTTAGGGAGGAACCTATTTCCCAAATGCAGGGTGCTGCCTGGAGCAGCCCGGCAGGGGTGAGCCCACATTCCCGTCACCACTTTTGCAGCGCTACACTGCAGTGCTCAGTGCCAGACACCTTCTCATGTGATCTGCACAACTCGGTGAGGTAGATTGTACCTTCACTTCTGAATCACGTTTTCTCTTTCTAATGCTTTTAGTCATTTAATGGTAAGCAATATTTTAGAGCAAACAAAGAATATGGGATTAGATGGAGGTTAGTAAAGTAATAACAGTGGCTCGGTCGGTTGGGTGTCCAACTTCAGCTCAGTTCATGATCTCCTGGTTCGTGGGTTCAAGCCCCGCGTCGGGCTCTGTGCTGACAGCTAGCTCAGAGCCTGGAGCCTGCTTCGGATTCTGTGTCTCCCTCTCTCTCTGCCCCTACCCAGTTCACATTCTGTCTCTCAAAAATAAATAAAAAATGTAAAAAAAAAAGGTTAAAAAAAAAGTAAAGTAATAACATACCATACATTCACCTACCTATTTTCCGGCACATAGTTTCAACATTTGGGCTGTTTTTGTTTAGTAACGATTTTATGCTTTAATGTCCATGGGAACTCGGGTTCAAAGCAAAGATCTGTGGCTTAGTGTGTGACGTGGCCAGCCTACCTCACTCTGACTTACTTTATAAGCCTGTAACTTTCCTGATATTTTTCTTGTAATGGAATGTGGGGTTTTTTTAAGTTTATTTATTTATTTTGAGAGAGAGCAGAGGAAGGGCAGAGAGAGAGAAGGAGAAAATCCCAAGCAGGATGTCAGCACAAAGCCCAAACGTGGGGCTGTATATCATGACCCTGAGATCATGACTTGAACCGAAATCAAGAGTTGGTCGCTTAACCAACTGGCCACCCAGGTGCCCCCTCAATGGAATGTTTTATTATTAGCATTTTGCAGTAGTACTCAGCCTATTAGTTTGTTTTGACAACATTTGTTAAAGACATTTCTAAAAAAAAGAGTTCTTTCCCATGAATAGCAGATCAATATCTGATAAATGGCTTAAGTAAAAGACATTTGAAAATGCAGTGAATAAAAATAAAATGAAAATGCAATGAAAAATTCAGATAACATTTTTTTGTAAATCAACTTGTCTAAACCATTCTAAATAAATTTTCGGCTTGGAAAAACAGTTTCTAGAAATGATGACTATACGTGCGGTTTCCGTAGTGTAGTGGTTATCACGTTGGCCTAACACGCGAAATGATGACTATGAAGGGAATGAAATACAATCTGTATGTGTATGTCAGCATCTCCTGATACCTGGCCATCTGTTTATCCATACACATCTGACTCTCTTATTTTTCTGAAATAGAAAAGAGCTGCTAAGAGAGAAGAAGCATTAGCATCATTTGAGGCCTGGAAGGCTATGAAGGAAAAGGAAGCAAAGAAAATTGCTGCCAAAAAAAGACTTGAGGAGAAAAACAAGAAGAAGACGGAGGAAGAAAATGCTGTGAGGAAAGGAGAAGCACTTCAGGTACGCGGGGGCTGCGGACATCTGCCTTCCTTACCCTGCCTCGCTCGGCACCTGTGGTCAGGATCAACGGTGCTTCTCCTTGCCTGATCATAGCCACGATCAGTAAGAAAATCATTGTGAACTTTTTCAGGCGTTTGAACGATGGAAAGAGAAAAAGATGGAATACTTTAGAGAGAAAAATAAAAAGGAGAAAGAATATGAAAGAGCGAAGAAGCAGAAAGAGGAGGAAACTATTGCTGAGAAAAAGAAAGATAACTTAACAGCTGTTGAGAAATGGTAATCCCAAAGGAGAACTCTTTTGCTGCATTTCAAGTGAATAACACTCTAGGCTTTTAAAAAAGTATTTGCTTGAAATTTATTAATGCATTGGCCTCTCCTTACCACAAAGATATGTTAGGAATTCTTTATTATATCCTCTCCTTTAACTATCTGGTGTTTTATACTGTCCTGCATAGGAATGAAAAGAAGGATGCTTTTTTCAAAGAAAAGGAGAAAGAGAGAATAAATGAGAAAAGACGAGAAGAACTGAAAAAAGCAGAGAAAAAAGATAAAGACAAACAGGCTATTGATGAATATGAAAAGTGGCTGGTAGGTATTATTTGTTAATGCACTTGTCTTATTAATGTACTTGATGCATGACTTTTCGGTCCCTAATTCCAGTTCTACTTGCCCCTGCTTCCTGGCCATTTCTACTCAAAGCAGCCTTGTTGACTCCATTCTCTCCCTATGTTTATCATATTGCCCCTGATTTACTCATTTCTGTTAAGGCTTCTGCTGTTCCCTCAGGCACTCAGGCATAAACCTTCCGACATAATACTCCTCTTTACCCACATCCCCACCTTAATCACTTACCAGTCATGCCTAGTCTTACTTTGCAGTGACTCTTAGGTGTAAAATCATGGAGAGCCGATAAGTGCACTGCTGAAGCCCTTGTCAGCTTTTGGGTGGGACTTGTCACGACACATAGTTACACTGAATTGAACGGTGAGAAAGGCAATCCATTTTTAAAATTCTCTTTTGATCTTTCTGATGACCTCAAGGAAAAAGTCTCCTTTTGGTGCTTTTTAATGAAAGAAAGCAAGTAAGAAGTTTGGGAGGAAAATGTCTAGAAGGACTTAACATGTTCTTGGGTTTTTTAAAAGATATTTTTGTCTGTTTCAGTGTACTTATGTTTATAGTTACTTTTCATTGATGTCGAGCAAAATACTGTTTTCTGTTTTAAAATGTCATATATACATACATGTTTATTAATTTTTGACTGAGTAATGCATTCATGTGAAAAGTACTTTACATCAGTAGGTGGCACATTCACATGGATAGTTAGCACCTCACCTGTTGCAGCAATCAGAACGCATCAAGTTGCTCTACAAGGTTTAGCATCCAGTGGGGTCCCTTTCTAGTAAGATTTCTTATAACCTTTTTGAATTTATGTTAATCTGCTAGTTGAAAATACTGTTCAGGTTATTTTGTGGATGTATATGTCTGGGTAGGACTGACTTTCAGCATCTTTTCATTTGTAGAAGGGTCATTTGTCTTTTTTTTTTTTTTTTTTTTGGATACTGTTAATCCATAAACTTTGCACATCTCTCTGTTGGTCTTTTTCTTATTGGTTTTCAGAAGCTTATTTACACATTAGGGAAATTAGCCTCTTTCTGGTAGGAGTTACAACCACTTTTTCCCATTGTTTGGTTGATCTCTCAACTTTGCATATGCTATTTTCTGCCATGAACAATTTTATTTTATCTTCTGGTGTCAAGTTTATCAGTCTTCTGGGTTTTATTTTCATGCATAGTTGAGAAGATTTTCTTCATAACTTGAAATTAAATGAAGTGCTCTTATTTTTCTTCTAGTAACTTAAGGATTTTAATATCTTGACGTTTTAACATTTGACCAACTTGGAATTTATCTTGCTCATAATGAGATATATGATTCCAGCTTTATTTTTTCCAAACATAATCTCCTATAAAATAGCCTATCTTTTACCCAATGGTATGAGGTACTGTGTTTGTTATCTGATACATTCTCAGAATTTAGGATCTGTTTCTTGACTTTCTGTTCCATGGGTCAATCTCAGATCTCATTATACATATTCCATATGCTGTTTCATTATCAGGGCTTTATATGTTTTCATATGTGTTCTGGTTAATCTTCCTTCATAGCTCCACTTTCAAGTATCTCTGTTATTATTTACTTTTTCACATAAACTTTAGAATCAACAGTAGTTAGAGAGGCATTCAGGACACAAAGCAGGCTATTTAAAGATGGGATAAAAAGATGAAGCAGTTAGGAATAAACCTAAGAAATGTGCAAGACAACTATGAAGAAAATTTTAGAACACTCCTGAAGGGCACAAATGAAGACTTGAGAACATGGATCAAAACTCCTCTTGGATAGAAATACTCGGTCCTATAATGATATTGTAGATGTCAGTTCTCCCTAAAGTAATTTACGAATTTAATGCAATCCTAATAAAAATAGCCATAGAATTTATTATTGTTTATGTGTTGCCTTTGGGGTTGCTTTATGCCGATTTCAGGCAGAAAAGCAGTAAGGAATAAGGAGATCAAAAACTGGTTTAATGGTTTGAATGAGGAAGGTGGTGTTTCATGATTGCTTTCTTAAATTCTTTCTATTTACATTTTTTAATGTGTATTTATTTTTGAGAGAGAGCAGAGGAGGGGCAGAGAGAGAAGGAGACACAGAATCCAAAGCAGGCTCCAGTCTTTGAGCTATCAGCACAAAGACCTACGCAGGGCTCGAACCTATGAACCGTGAGACCATGACCGGAGCTGAAGTCAGACATTTAACTGACTGAGCCACACAAGCACCCCTTCCTTAAACTCTTAAATAGTGCTAGATCCTAAGAAAAAGTAAAACTCTTCATATATCAAGGAGACATATACCGTGTGCTAGTATCGCTTAGAGCAACTAAACGTACGTGTTTAAGTTTTCGGTTTGAAAATGGAATAGAACCTCCTTAATGACTAAGTCATAGTTAGGTACATTGTGTTTTATTACAGTACTTAGTCACTCTCTCATTCTGATCAGTCCTCTAGAGAACAAAAATTCATCAAAGATCTAAGATGAAAATGACTTGTTTTAATGTCAGTATAACCTCAACAAATATAGTGCTACATATAAAAACATCCATGTACAATATGCTACAGAACTATTCCTGCATCCTACCAATTTCTTGTTAAAAATTTGTATGCAGATAGATTGGAAAAGTACCCCTATTTGAAGTCTAAGGACTTTCATTTTAATGTAAAGTTACATCTCAAAATTTTGTTATAAAATCTAACTTGAGTAGTGAATATTGGATGAGTTATTCTTTTAGGGGAAAATTATAGCCAAAGATCAGTAAGACTTTTCTTTATGTTGGTTCCCAGATTGAGTAATTGTTATTAATTAACACACTGATTAATCAATTATGTCTGTCTCCAACAGACAACAGTCAGAAGGGCTTTATAACAAGGTTCTTTTATTATTAATTATTACTTGAATAATATTACCAATAATTAATTCCTACTTAACATAATATTATAGATCATCTGAATTGATATTAAGGTTGATAGTTGCTTATTTTCTATTCTGACCTTTTTAGCACCTACTAGTAAGAACAAATTTGTTTCATGTTTCCCTTTCTCTCTTCCCATGTTAAATGGAACAGACAAAAAGAGGTTTGTTTGGTCAGTTTCTGTGGACACAGCCTCGTCACTGCTTTTCTGCTACCTAACAAGAGGGTCTGTCTCTCTCTGGGATAATAAAATGATTGACCGTGACCCAATTACAGTTTTCTTTGTTTTCTCAATTAGGATTCTGAAAGGAAGTTCCTTCTTTGCTTTAGTAGGACTAGCAGGCATTCAAACATTTTCATGATCTAGAGCAAGATGTAGAGACAGAAAAAAGAATTTCACACCTCTGTCCATTCCTTTCGTTGTAAGTGGATAACCGTGTGCCGATAGAAACCTCGTGTTATCATATTCTCCTTGTGACATCTATCAGTTCCACACATGTCCTGGTAAAAGAACCACAGACACCTAATAACTTACCAAAAAAAGCTGCCCCTCTCAACTGTCTAGCCTGAAGAGGCAGTGTTATCTGAGGGGTCCCAGATACTACTGCTCTTTGAGAAAAACACCAAGGTGAGGAAACCACCCAACTTTCGGGTGTTAGCAGAGACTTGGAGAAATGGAGAGACAGTCTGAGCTGCAGGATGAAAAGAGCGAGAGCTGTTAACATTTCAGGTGTTCCTAGATTAATGTCTCAATTTCATAGTACTTCCTACATGCCCAGTCATCCCTTTGACGGGAGTGTGTGCAGGGAAACAGAATGGTCCTAAAATTCATCTGCTTTCATGAAAACGTGAGAATCTGGAAGATGGTATTTTCAAAACAGATGAAGAACAGGACTGTTCCCGTCAAGCAGTAAAATAAAAACTTAACCATTCCACTCACCCTGGAGCCAGCATTCTTCTCGCCTGGATTAATCCCCGCCAATTTCCAGGATATGTAACTCGTAATTCCTCATTTGCCTCCAGATGTGGTCCCACATTTCACTGCTTTTTCTATGAAAAACTAACCTTCTAAGGTTTTCTTTACACTTCTTAGTTCTCCGTGCCCTTTTCACCGTCCACACACTCCAAGCTTGTCTATTTTGCCAAAGCATTACAGAAACCACGCTTTAACAGTTAGTTTTGCCGGAACGTGTAGCCATCCAACGTGCTGTTTTCTGCCACATTCCCTGGACCTCTGAAACATCCTACATTGTTGCATCCGCCTTCTTGCAACCGTCTTCTCCCCTGGGCCCCCTGTTCCCCTGGTTTCTCTCACTTCCTGGCCTCCCTTCCCAGCATTACTTGTTGGCTTCTCTTCCCTTACCTATGTTCCAGATGTTACCGTGGCCCGCGGGCCCCACCGCACCTCACTCACCTGCCTGGCACCCCCTCCCATGTTCCCAGGTGGAGTCACACCGGCTCGCTCGTTCCCTCTCACATCCCAAGGTTCTCCCACTTGTTAGAGCCCTCACACATACTGTTCTCTCTGCCTGTAATGCTCTCTTCTCATCGCGTAACACAATCATGTCTCAGCGACATTCCTTGCGTCTGCTTTTCTTTGGAAGTAAGTACTCCCTTTTGTTCTTTAACAATCACAATGATTTTTTCATGTGTTCCATAGGAATTCTCACAATTTGAAGTGATCTGTGGTTTATTTAACTGTTTATTAACTGCCAAGTGTGAAAATCCCCTGAGGTTTGAAAAAAATAATTGGGGCACCTGGGTGGCTGAGTCAGTTAAGTAAGTGACTGACTTCAGCTCAGGTCATGATCTCACGGTTTGTGGGTTCGAGCCCCGCATTGGGCTCTGTGCTGACAGCTAGCCCAGAGCCTGGAGCCTAATTCAGATTCTCTGTCTCCCTCTCTCTTTCTGACCCTCCCTTGCTCACACTGTCTCTCTCTCTCCTAGAAATAAATAAAACATTAAAAAAAAAAAAAAAGTCAGTGTAGGTGCTGCTTGGAGGGTGAATTCCTACAGCCACTTTGAAAAATAATCATTTCCCAGTAAAGTTGAACATATTCAGACCCTACAAACCAGCAATTTTTGTCCAGTCATATATATGGAGAGAAAATCTTGACTAATAAGTACAAGGAATCAAACAAGGATGTTTATAGCATTGTCTTTGCATGGGAAAAAAAAAAAAAGGAACATCAGTTTTTCAACAACAACAAAAATTGATTTATAAATTGTGATAACTTGCTAAGCTGGAATTCTATGAATATTCTATGGAATGTCAAGGAACTAGACCTATAACTTCTATAGATGGATCTTAGAAATATTAAGATGAATAAGAAAGGATGTTACAAAAATATATAGCATGTTCCCTTTTATTATAAATTGTAAAAACATGAAAAACAAAGTTACTGTTTGGGGACTAATGCATATATAATAAGAGTATTAAATAAATTTTATAATAAAATAGTATAATAAAATTAAGAGATACACTGGAATGATAAGTATCAAATTCAGAGCGATGGTTACCTCAGTGGTGGAGATGAAGGAGTGCAATAAGGGAATGAACACAGAGAGCTTCAAAAGTATGGGTCATGTTTTCTTTTAGAAGGCAGATAGTGGGTTCACAAGTTTTGATTGTATTACTCTTTACACAGTTGTCATGACTGAAATATTTCTTAATTTTTTAATTTTATTTTTTTGGTAAAAAGTACCAAAAGTAACAGATACAATGTTTGCTGCAAAGATAATATTTACTTTATATGAAATTATGCAGGGGCGCCTGGATGACTCAGTTGGTTAAGTGTCCAACTCTTAATTTTGGCTCAGGTCATGATTTCACCCTTCGTGGATTTGAGCCCTGCATCGAGCTCTGTGCTGGCAGCACAGAGCCTGCTTGGGATTCTCTGTCTCCCTCTCTCTCTGCCCCTCCCCCATGCATGCTCTATCTCTCAAAATAAATAAATGAATTCTGAAAAAGGTATTTAAGAAAAGATATGCAAATTGCTAAAGACTAAAAGCACTGATACCCATATAGTTAGATGAGCCAAATAATTGAGCAAAAAAAATTCACAGAAGGGTTAAAGAAATAAAAATGTGCTCAAATTCAATAATAAGCAAAGAAACATGAGACATAACTTTCAACTATTTATGAAATTTTGAAGTATCCCTGCTGCCCTGGCGGATTCAACCTTTGCACCCAGTAAGTTTAGTTCTGAGAATCTGTTCTCAGAAAGTCATCATTGACTTCTAAGTTATGGAATTTTAAGTATTTCCCCCCTTTTTACATAATTTAATTTAAATATTATCACTTTTAATATTAAAATAAGCAATTAAGTGATGCATTAATACCTGTTGGTAGTATACTTTATAAGCAATATTCTCTAGTTGCTATTCCTTTCTAACCAATTAAATAGAAAATGACATTTAAATCTCTTATGGTGGATTATTTTGTTCTTCAATAAGCAACTTGATTTGGAAATAATGCTCATATATGTATATAAATTTATAGTTTTCTGTTCTCTCTTTAGGAAAAGAAAGAAAGGCAGGAAAGGATTGAGCGAAAACAAAAGAAACGTCATTCTTTTCTTGAAAATGAGGCACTTCCTCCCTGGAGCCCTCCAAGTCGAACTGTGTTCTCAAAAGTGTTTTGATAATTCTCATTCTTACATGATGTAGTTATTTATCAATTCACTATTTTAACCATGGGTTTAAAACTGTTGATTCAATTAGTTATAGTTAGAAGAGTCTATTTTATTAAATGCCGGCCATTTCCACTGCATAAGATGCTTTGGAGTTAATCAGTGAAATAATTGAAGGCATTTTTTTGGACTGTGGATAAGCTGCCTCAAATGAGAAACTAATAATCAGATCACACTTGCCATTAAAATAACTCTTTATCATGTCCTTGCAGTTGTTACAATCAGATGACCCATGACCACTTTCAGCCATGCACGGTAGCGAAGTGTGTGTATTCCCCAGAATAAAAAGGAAACCATTTAGGTACGACAATCATAGAAATAATTGAATCATTCTGTGAATGATTGTGCATCTAGATTCAGGTTTTAGAAGGAGTCATTGCTGGGAGTACGCACGTATTATTTTTTCCAAAACTGATCTTTAACTTGAGCGGTTGCACTTGCACTATGCAAGTTACAATTTTGGTCAGGTGAGGCAGTAGTTCAGTAGAACTCTAATCTTCCAGGCATTTTATTTAAGAAGTATGCCTTATGTTTTAATATGGGATTGCATCTGTCCCAGATTTCCATGACAATCTTAGGCACTTTAAAGTGAGTAGACCTCTCAAATGTGTCTTCTAAATTCTATTTCATTTTATTATTTTGGTGGCATCAAAAGATATCCATTTCTTGGCAGTGATATACTCACACAATAGTGATGGAAATTCCACAGGAGTTCAAGGTCATTATCACTATTATTATTATTTTCCAGACTTAAGCCATATAGGTGATAAAGGCAATTTTTGATCTCTTAGCCTATTCCAGAGTCTTATAGCTTATATTTAGAAGACAGCTGTATAGGAAGGTAACTTGTAGAAAGTGCCCAAAGAATCTTTATTTATTTATTTGATCTGTGCATATCTTTATATTTGGACTCATACTTGAACTGGTCAACTAATTTATCATAGACCAAATGTATGCTTTCAGAGCTGAAATACTACTTTAGCCAATGATGCAATGCAATATAATTACTATTGGGTGAGAATATAATTACTATTTCTTAAGCACCTATTGTATGCTCTCTCCTGGGTCTTTACAAATGTTAATTCTTTGCAATAACTAATCCATGTAGGTGATATTTTGCAGATAAAAAATACTGAGACTCAGAGAAATAACTTGCCATACATTTAGCATGTGATAGTGGGGATTAGAATTGAGTAAGTCTTCCTCCCTCCAGAATCAATAGGCTCATTTTTATGCTCTGTATTATATCAACTTTACAAACACATTTTACCTCTCAGATCCTAAAATCATGCATTGCTAACTAGAGCTTATATTTCCTTTTAAGAAATATCTGTATGTTATTAGAGATGGTCAACTTCATTAGATCTATAAAATGAAAGAAGATTTCATAATATTAAGAGAATTAGTCAAATGCCTTATATGTAGTATTAGAATATCAGGAAACCCAGCAGGTAGTGGAACATGGCATTTGAGATACTCAGAAGGCCTCACTCTGAGGATTGAGTTGGCTGCTATGCGTGTTCAAGATAAAAAAGGTGTAAAGGATCACTGGGTCACATCAGTGTTACAGATTTTTTTTAAATTATAAACAAACCTGGAAGCCTTTTTATACTGTCAGGAACTAGGAGAATACTTCATGAAATTGAAACTATTATCATCAGTGTGTATTATCAGCATGAGATTTAGCTCCTCTCTTTTTCACCAAATATATATATATTTGTATATACATATACAGTGTCTACCAGAATGAATCATTGTTTATGGTATCTAATTAGCTATTCAGAGCTAAGGAGGTATTTGCAAGTTCCAGGGAAATAAAAGGAGAAAACGTCAGGGATATGAGATCCTAAATGTATATGTCATAAATTTCACATTAAATATTCACTTACACTTCCCAATTGTTTTCTTCATCATGTCATATTTAGTGGCTTGCTATTATTGCTTCCTAGTTGTGGGAGCACTGAATGAAATTAGTAATATAAAGCATAAGGCACATAATAAGGACTTAATAAATGTTCATTTTCATTTGCTTACTTCCAATAAGCCCTGCATTTACCCACTTCACGTATGTGAGGAAAAGGTCAACACAGATGGGGTTGATAATGGTTATTTGACTTATACGTTTTTAGCATACGAGAAGAAACCACCACTTTCCTGGCCAGTCGAGCACTCAGAAGAGAATCTGGAGGTTAGTTGTATTAGAGACCTCCTAAAAAGAGATCTAAAGAAATCTAAATCTTAGCACTGTTTGTGAAGTAGGATGAAGTGCAAAACTGAGGTGTTCGTGAAGACCCAGCAATTCATTTCTCTCAAATGGGAGATTTTCTACTCACTGTGATAAATAATAAATTATTTCCTGCTTACAGTAACATGTGCTAATCAGTTATCTAGTTGAATGAAATCCTCTCTCCTTCCTGCAACAAAAATAAGGCCGAGTTTTAAGAGCTGGGTGAAAGTATTGTTTACTTTCTGAGATCCCAAGGAAAGAATCCAACCTGATAATATCCTCTTGAATGTGTTTATCTATTTAAGGGGTACGATTTTCCCATATATCCTTAAAAGTATCAAATGTCAATACATTTTCTCATCAAGTTTTCATTAATTTATAATATGAGGGAATTCAAATTAAAGACACTAAAAGCCTGTAGATTTTCAGATTAAACTTCTAGTTTTATAAATTGTATTGATGACTTGAATGTTGACACTTCAAAGTAAGGAAGGTAAGAATTTAATGAATATTTTACATGACTGAAAACAACAATTTCCCTAGAAATTGACATATTAATACAAAAAATAAAATTGTATACAGAATGTATTTTCCATAACAACCAAGAAGACAGTAGTGTTCTATAAATAGAGGAAAACTATATGGCATGTTAGATCAGAAGGAAGTGGCAGTTTTCTTAAAGAAAATAAGAACTATTCAGGTATAACAACTTTCTGGTGGTTTCTATTGCATCATGTTTTGAAAATGTTAGTTCACATACTGTTCTGAATAGTATTGAAACTGATAGGTCTCACTGTTGCCAAAGCGGTAGTTGAAAATAGTTAAGTTGTTTGTACCTCGGACTGATAAAACTATGTATCTGGAATGGTTTTAATAATTTAACAAAGCTGGCCCAAATCTTATTTCTAAGTTGAACAGGACTACTTTGACTTGCCCAAGAGAGCAAGTCATGAGATACTATGAGATACCAGAGTTAGAAATCAGAGGTCCAGTTTTCTAGTTGTAATCAGCCCACCATTCCACAATTTTGAGATCTAATAAAACTTTCACAGTTTTATAACCATGGTCATTTTGATCCTCTCTCCAATGGTCCCTTATTCTTCCAGTGCCTTCTCCATAACTCCACCAGATCAAAGGTCTCTGGGCACCTCCCCCACTGCTTCATGGGTAGGGAGTACTGAAGTTTCTTAAGCTCTGAATCACAGGCTAAGATGGAATGGAAAAAAGGAATTTCTCAAAATGGGAGAAATTGCATGTTGGTCAAAGTAGTTCCTGAGAATAAACTAGTACAGAAAACAAATATTCCTGATGTAATCTTGACTCTGATCCCAATAGTGCTTTATTAAAAGGCATTTAAACCCATATGCTTCCTTTCTATACAAGGTAAAGATATTACCAATTGTCCTACTTCATAAGTACATGGGCTGACAGAATAAAGAATGCTATGTAAATGCTTAACTAGAGACTTCCCTGAATTCTTTTTGTTTTAAAATCTCTGGTGATTTGATTATTTTGAAACACGTTACCTGTAATTGTATAATGTTAACTAAATTATTGGTATTAAATTTAGGATGTTTAAGAATTACTTGAGGAAATGTATTTAATGTCTGCTTTTTAGTAGCATATTTCATGTTCTGCTTAATTAAAGTTACTCATTCAAGAGTTATTTTATTGGGTCCTGTTATTTATCGATTATGCCAAATTTCATTTCAGAATGTTGGAAAATGTGGTATGAGTTTTATTTATGGTCTAAAGACAAAATAACCATTGTCATCTGCAGCGACATGGATGGATCTAGAGAGTATAATGCTAAGCGTAATAAGCCAGAGAGACAAATACCATATGATTCCACTCATATGTAGAATTTAAGAAACAAAACAAATTGAACAAAGAAAAGAAAGGAAAAAGACAAACCAAAAACCAGACTACTAACTATAGAGATCAAACAGATGGTTACCAGAAGGGAGGTGGATGGGGGGATGGAGGAAATAAGTGAAGGAGATTAAGAGTACACTTATCATGATGAGCACTGAATAATGTATAGAATGGTTGAATCACTATAGCATACCCGTAAAATTAATATAACACTGTATGTTAACCATACAAGAATTTTTTAAAGATGAAATCATTATATTATGCTGATATACCTTTTATTAGAAATGACTGAAATTTTGAAAAAAAAGACTGAAAATTTGAATATAAACTTTTTTTACTTGAAATACTACACAGATTACAAAGGTAATGTAATTATAAAATTATCAAATAATTAGAAAGTGCAGCGTCACCTGGGTGGCTCAGTCGGTTGAGTGCCTAACTCTTGATTTCAGCTCAGGTTATCATCCTAGGGGGCGGGGATTGAGGCCCATGTCAGGCTCTGCAGTGAGCATGGAGCCTGCTGGGATTCTCTATCTTTTCTGCTAACCCTCTCCCTGACTTGCACACACTCTCTCTTAAAAAAAAAAAAAGTGCAAATATCAAAAATAACCCACGTTCCCATCTCCCTGAAACAGTCATAGTTAACATATTTTGTACACATACAGCTTTTAGTTTCCAGTGCATTTTTTCCTGTAGTTGAAACTAAGCTAAGAGTCAAGAAGGCAGAGATACAGCTCCCTCTATCTTTCTGGTTTTCTGTTTCTCATTATCTCTGTCTCTGTCTCTCTCATGCTACCTACATGTGTACACCTATGTGTTACACTTCTCTCTCTCTCTCTCTACATATAGAAATAGAACACCTACATGCATATATACAAACTTTTTTTTTATTCTCTAAAATAGAAAATGAGCTCAAACTATGTAACCAGAATTTTCCACTCGATGATTTATAATGAACATGTTTCCACCCTATTATGCTTTTCCAAAAATCTTTGATGCTGCAACTACAATTTAGCCTACTTTGGGCAATTTGTTTCCTTATGAATGTTTACTATAGTAAGTAATGACACAGCCAACATTCCTGTAGTAAATGTCCATATTGTTAAGATGATGGACCTCATTAAATCTATAAAATTTAAAACAATTCATAATATTTAGGAATTAGTCAGATTTCATGTGTGTGGTATTAGAATGTTAGGAAACATAGCAGCTTGTGGAACATGGATTTTGAGACAGTCACTCAGAAGTTCTCACTGCCGTGAGTGTGCAAAAAAGACATCACAGATCACTTAGATCCCATCAGCACCCTCCATAAATAAAGGAGATTTCATAAATAAAACAAGAAACCTTTTTATATTGCCAGAACCACAAGACATGAAATGGGAGTTATTTAATGGGTGTGGAGATTTAGTTTCTCAAGATGAAAGTTCTGGAAATTGGCTGCACGGCAATTCGAATGTGTTTAATGCTACTGAGCTGCGCATTTACAAATGGTTAAGATGGTGAATCTTGTGTACATTTTGCCACAATTTTTAGAACACTGCACAGCAAAACAAAACGGTTGCTCATTCATCTGTAGGAGAGATACAGAGAAAACTTCTCCCCTCATTACAGATACGTGTTTTCCTTTGCTTTGATCAGATCAACTTGCTCATCCCAGACAACTCATCCTTGATTCAAACACAGTTTTGAGGAATGTTCTAGCTGCTAGACATAAACTGAGAATGAACACTGAGTAGAAAAGCAACATTTCCACCACCCCTTCTAATAACTCCTCTTTTCAGAGATTTTGTCTTAGATATTCTTGCCCACTTCATTTTTGACATAAGCTTTGGGGTTCTTTTTAAGCTTTTAAAACAAAATTATTATGTAGAATTGCACTAATCATACACAATAAGGAAATCTGTTGGTTTGAAAAAGAGAGATTGAAACCAACTCTGAGACTGATTAATGTTCACTTGTCTTTTTGTATGTATAGCCATTTAACTCTTAAAATTAATGAACTCTATGGTGCCCATAGATTCCCTTTGGGGAAAACCCACTGTGATCCTTACCCATCCTACACACACCCTGAGTATCTTAGTTACTGTCTTTTCTACACTGTTTCCTTGACTTAAATAACTCTTATTGAAGGTCTCACCTTTGTAGTTATATATATGTAATTCCCCAACTTAAATAAGAACTTTAGGAGGACAGGAATTATATTTTACACATCGTGGTGTTTCTACTTTATCAGTGGAGTATGGATGCATATTTCTTGACTGATAAAAGGGCAAGTTAAAAACAGAATATAAAAGGGCACCTGGGTAGCTCAGTCTGTTAAGCATCCAACCCTTGATTTTAGCTTAGGTCATGATCTCACAATGGTGAGATCAAGCCCTACATAGGGCTCTGTACTTGGCGTGGAGCTTTCTTAGGATAATCTCTCCATCTCCCTGTGCCCCTCCCCAACTCAAAAATCAAAATAGAATACAAAACACTGCATATATTTTTGTGATGTATATATGTATGTGTATATATGTATATAGTACATATATGAGCAAGGACCATGTTATTTGATGAAATTATATAAATTATTTTATATATAATGAAAATGGCTGGGCATCTTGATGGCTCAGATGGTTGAGCATCCAACTTCAGCTTAGGTCATGATCTTACCATTTGTAAGTTCAAGCCCCACGTTGGGCTCTGTGCTGTCAGCTCAGAGCCTGGAGTCTACTTCAGATCCTGTGTCTCCTTCTCTTTCTGTCCCTTCCCTCCTCATGCTCTGTTTCTCTCTCTCAAAATTAAATAACAACATTATTTTTAAAATTAAAATGGCATTAAAAATGAGTATTGTAATGACCATTGCAAATAGTTTAAAATTTTATTTTAGATATGACATAATTTTTCAGTCCCAAACAAAACAAAAATTTTAAAAATGGAAATTTCTGTGTGTGCATATCTGTGTGTGTGACTGCATTAAGTTGGAAAAGCTCATATATATCCTAATGTATTCAATTAAATAGGTTGAGCCCTATCAAGAGAACTCTTGCTTGCTTGCTTGCTATACTTTCTATGGTAATATTAAGCGATAACATCATGAAGGAAGGAAGGAAGGAAGGAAGGAAGGAAGGAAGGAAGGAAGGAAGGAAGGATAGCAAGCAAGCCCAGAGCTCCCTGGCTCATTCAGCTGAAGGATGAATCTTGGTAGAATAATCTGTCAACTAAAGCTTAAATTCAGATATGCCAAGTGTGAGTGCTGAAATGACATTGTACAGTGAGGCCTCAATCCTGGTGAGTGGAGTACATGGTCACTCGGTGGCTACATTTAGTCTCATTACTAGATTTAGAACTCAGAGTTACACCTTTAAAGCTTGTGATGATGATCACAAGGCTATCACATGTTGATTGGTCTCTATCAAAACTGCTGGTTTATCAAGTAGTAAACAGCTGCCAGTGTGGGAGACTCTTCTATGAACCTTAGGGATTTGGCAATAATAATAGCCCCTGCTTTCAAGTAAGGTGCAGTAAGCTCAAGAGGGGGAAAAAAGAAATCACATGAACAAATATACAAATAAAATAATTTCAGTCTCTGATAAACTCTATGAAGAAGACAAAATAGTTTAATATGATAGAGTGTGACCAAGATGTGGAAGATTGCTTTTCGGTAGTAAGATTAGAGGAGGCATCTCTGAAGAGAAAATATTTCAGTTGCAACCTGAAATGAGAGGAAAGCAACTGTGTGATGAATTGTTGGAAAAACAGCCCAAGCAGCAGGTACATTGAGTGTAGACACTTTGAGGAAAGTAAATGCCAACATGATGGGTAGTGAACAAGAAAGCAAAGGGAGGAAATGAGGCCAGAGAGGAAAGAAGGTTCTAGATTAGGTAGAGAGTCTGGGGCCATTTTAAGAAGCCTGTATTTCATTCCAAGTGCAATGGAAGAGTTTTAGCTGGGGGTTGAAGAGATTTGACATTGTTCTAAGTGATAGTAATTCGCAATATACGCACTTTTGTTTTCATGGAGGAAGACGATTAATTATAAGGGAAAGGGGATATAGAAAATTAAACAATTATAGTAAACATAAAGGGAGAGAAGTAATAGAGAAAACCATAGAAGGCTTAAAACATCAGTTTGGGTACTTACAACCTCCAACCTTCTGTATGAGAGGTGAACAGCCAGGTTGGAGTGCCAGTTGAGGGTCCTGGGTGGAACATTGTCTCCTCAAGTGAGACTTCCAACTAGCTATTCCCCCAAGAGCAATATATATACTACCTATGTGTGATTTATGGTTAGCCATTAAGTGTGCCTAAGTACAGTCCCAAGTGAGCTGGTTTTTCTGTTTCTCTTATCATATCTCACAATCTTAGGAGCCTAGGTGTCCTCCCTGATTTATTCCATGGGGCCAACCTGGTCTGGCTCAAGGAGGTGAAGCACACTGATCCTTCTTGGCATCAGGAACAGAAGGGCCAGTTCTGATCCCAAGGCCAGATACGAAGTAGAAGTCAGCTAAGCCCCCATGAGAGTATATGTGCAACTCTGGACAAGAATACATGACAAGTCACACAAACAATTTGTATACAGAACAGACATACACTTAGAAAAATTCTTGGAGCTCTTGGATGGCTCACTTGGTTGGACATCTGACTTCAGCTCAGGTCATGATCTCACAGTTTATGGGTTTGAGCCCCACATCGGGCTCTATGCTGACAGCTCAGAGCCTGGAGCCTGCTTTGGATTTTGTCTCTCTCTTTCTCTCTCTCTCAGAAATAAAT